TTGGTTGGGTGTAATGGTCTCTTGTGAGTGGGAAAGTAACTTATTTTCTGAGTTGGTTTCTGTTTTGTGAGGATTGTTGGGGCTGTTTTCTGGGTTTGAGTGGTTAGTCACTTGGTAATGGCATTCTTGAGTTCCAAGTTATGAGTTTGTGGGGAAAGACATAATCTTGTGGTGTTAAATTCGTGGTGTTTGGAAGTCAGAACCTGTGTGCCTTGTTGGAAGCTCCAATGAGGAGTATTTTCTGAGTTTTAACCTCTTGGAGGTATACCATGATCACTCTTTGTCATTTTGGAGTCTTAAGCTTGTTTAATCTATTAAAAAGAGGAACTTTAACCATTTTAGTAAAAGAATGTGTTTTGGGTTCATAACATGTTGGTGATTATCTGTTTAGGGAGTCATTGAACTCCCAATCGCTTTTGGACCTTTAAATTTGGGACTATGCAGAAGTTGGCTCGAATTTCTGCATTCTGTTGAAGAAGTATTCGAATACTTTTCGTGTAGTATTCGAATACTTTTCGTGTAGTATTCGAATACTTGTTCATCAGGTAGTCGAATACTCATTGCTGGAGTATTGGGATACTTTCTGGGAAGAGCGTATTCGATTACCCTTTAAGAAGTATTCAAATACTTGGGGTTTGGTATTCGGATACCTTGTGATATTCGAATACTGGAGTGAAAGTATTCGGATACTTTCTGGAGAGCTGGAGTATTCGAATACTACTCGTGGAGTATTCGAATACCTCCTGCAGAAAATGCATAAAACGACTTATAATGAAATGGAAAGCCTTAATCACTTAATGTAACCTTGATAGATGGTTATTAATGATTACTTACTGTATAAACAGATTGTGATTGTACTGTTTGCGGGCTTTGAGCTAGTGTGGACTCTTGGCTTGGATAGTTAGCTTGCAAGGTAAGCTTTCGTGTCCTCGGTTTATCCATGTTGTGGTTCCACCATGTCCCGTGGGGGTACGGTTATATGCATGTTGTGTTACATGCTTTTGATGTTTTGAAAATGCTGTTGAGCTGTTATATGCTAGTGTCTTTGAGATATGCATGTGGTGTTCCACTTATACGGTAAGCCTGAGTATATGATACATATAATATGGTGAGGCTGTGGGTGAGGTACAAGCGATGTTCCTTGTACTATCTGTAGGGGATAAACGTATACTTATTCCTGCATTTCTCTGGCCAGTAGAACAGTGTCAACACACATGTCATGAATATCTGTTGCACTCCATAGTTTTGAGAACTTATACTAATGTAAATGCTTTAGAACTTATATTGCACATGTAAGTGAGCTTGGGGTGGAAGATCCTTGAGGATCCCTTGTCTTACTGAGATTTCTAGTTTAGAGATCTCACCCCACGTTTGGGGCGCTTATTTCAGGTTCAGGTAATGTTGAGACCTAGGGCGGCAGGAGGCCGAAGCTGAGTTAGATTTGCTGTTATTTATGCTGACATGTTGTATGCTGGATTTGCATGTTGATTATATGTTTATAGCTTCAGTTTATGTTTATGGAGTTTTATGTTGAACATGATGTTGTTTACGCTGTTTATTTGGTGAGCATGGGGATTGTCCATGACAACTAGTATTGTTTATGTCTTGAGTCTGTTGGGAGTTGTAATAATGTATCAGGATATTGTCCGGATTACGATATGTAATGCAGTGATTCAGATACACACTTTATTTATATATTGAGAAATTTCCAGTAGATGTCTTATTGCAATTTACATACAGGTGATATTTTATGAAATTGATTAAGTAATCAACTTGGCTAAGTTTAATGACGTCATAATTGAAAAGAAAAAGAATATTCCGCATTTTTAATTAAGCACCGCTTAATACGATGTAATGTTAATATTCCGGGTATACACGGGGTGTTACAGTTATCGTCACCATTGGCCACCGTCATAACCACCACCACTAACCACTAGACACCAACCATCACCACTAGCCACAACTGCCGCCATCAGTCAACCACCATAATTACCATCGGTCAACGCTGGCGCCGCCACCACCACCACCACCACCTCAGGCCACCGCCACCCCCAACCACTAGACACTAATCATTACCACAAACACTTGCCATCGCTGCCATTAGTCAGCCATTACAATTATTATCGGCCATTGCTGACATTGTCACCATCACCCACTGCCACCATTCTCCACAACCGCCACCAACACTACCCACTATCACTTGTCACCGACCACTGATATTGACAATCAATTTAAAACTTGATTTTTTAAAATTTATTTGGTGAGGGTAATTTTTTTTAAAAATTTTTTTGTAAGTTATTTATGTATTTTAATATATTTAATTCAAATTATGACTTGATTTAAAATAAAAAATAATGTGAAAATAAATTGAAAAATAGTCTAAAAATCAATTCTAAAAAGGTCATATAAAATTATGTTAAAAAAGAAATCTTTGTTTATTTAGATTATATAATTTGTCTCAAACACCGAATAAGATAATATTATCATATCAGATTATTTATCTAGTGTGTATCAAATACAATATATGATATAAGATTATCAGTTTCATATCAAATCATACTTTTATTCAGTCCTCTTAGCCAACCAAACTAATCCAAATCTCAAGTCTTGTATACAGAAGTCTCATTGCACACTCACTTTGTTCAGGTACTAACTTCATGGAGAAACACTACCATCTCTTACCCATAAAACACGTGAAAAGTCTCCTCCAACCTTCTTTAGCCAATCCTCCTAAGTAACCTAACAGAACGAAATTTAAGTCACACTGGATGCAACAAAAGTTTTATATTCTATGACCAAATTATATATCTTCATTATTAAAATAATTTAACTTTTCCCATCATATAATTGTTATTGTTGAGATATATAAAACCATTAATGTAGCCTCGCCCAATAACTTAAGCTTTTAGGTTGAATGGTTCTTTACATGGTATCAGAGCCTCGTGTCCCGGGTTCGATTCTCGCCGCCCCCCACTTTCTTTCGAGTGAAATTTCTTTGTTCGCACAGGTAGGTGGGCCTGTGCATTGTCCACCCTTCAAGCCCAGTGGGCTCTCGTGTGAGGGGGAGTCAGTGAGCTCTCGTGTGAGGGGAGCGTGTTAAGATATATAAAATCACCCAACAGCTTAAACTTTTGGGTTGAATTAGTTATTTACAGTTATTACAATTAAAACATTTTGATAAACTAACACTGTATAATAACTAAATAATCGTATCTAAAAAATATTTCATTATCATTTCTCAATCTGTCAAAATTAAATCCCAAGAAATGAATTTTGGTCACTAAATCCTAAAAGTCAAATAACAGAATATGGTCAACCACAATATATATATATATATATATATATATATATATATATATATATATATATATATATATATATATATAAAGCCAACGTTCTTCTTGTTGGTGGTGATCTTCCCCAACTACTAAGAAGACGGTATATAACTACGAAGCGTATGCAAGCGAACAACTTACAATGGTAGAACTGGCATGGGAAGACAGAACCGAGATCGACCAATCCATCCAGAAGGGAGAACCCAGGAATGCAGTTCCAAGAGGGGAGCTAGGCGAAGGTAGCCTAGTTCGAATTCTTTTTATGGAGGTAAATCTTGCTTTCAAACCACACATGGGAAGGGAGATCGAATTTCACTCGGGATGAGTAGGCGTAGGCACAGGCTAAAGCTAAAGAAAGGCATTAAACAGGAGAGGGAATGCAGGCGAACATATCATATAGATGTAATTTAGAGTAAATCACTTTTCCCGGGGTAGAAGGGCTCGAATGGTCGATTCTTGCCTTCATCCAAGGCTTCACTCCCCCCTTCCTTCGCTCTCCGGACTTCTTCCTTCTAGGCGACTAAGGGCATAAACTTCTGTAAATAAAATAGAAAGACAAACTCACAAGGCATTCTCTCAAGTAGCAAAGGCAAGACGGAAAAGCAGGTGTTGTCGGCCTTTCCGCTGCTATTGGTTTACCGCTACAGGATTTGCGCTCTCCAAGCAAGCATTAAGATCAGGCATGTAGGAAGTAGGGTAAAAAAGTAAGCATGAAGCTTTGACATAAGGTTTGTCTTCCTCTACCTTCTCTTGCTATTGGATTGAAGAGAAGGCCAAGAAAGAAGTGATTAAGAGCACTTTCGAAGTCAGTATCCGCTTTGCTTTATGGTCAATATCATATCCAGATCCACCTTAGTCAGAGTTGCATCAACTAATACGGAATATCCGGTGTTACAACCTATTCTCCGAATAGTTACCTTAGGTTAGACGGCTTCTTGGACGGAGCAAGTGAGGTGTAGCGTTAGGTGACCCGGAAGCCACGCGCGGCGGTCAGTGGAGGTGTGGATGGATCTACCAAATGATAAGAATGCCTCTGAGATTCAATCATAAACCACTTTGCCTCGGTTGTATGTAAACCCCCCCCTTCACCCCCACCCCCTAAAGTGGTAAAGAATGGCTCTTTTGGGTATTATTATATTTCTATCTGACAGGACAAAGAATATGAGATCTATTAATCTCATGCAACAGAGATAGGATTGTGAGATCCATTACTTTTTCAGAAAAAGAAAAAAAAAATGGTGGATCTACTATTTTGTCTATGTTGCATGAGATAATTATTTCCCTATATATATATATATATATATATATATATATATAATGTATAAACAACATAGGAATAAAATTAGGGATAAATTACTTTTATGCTACATGTGATAACTTTATCTTCTACACACCTTTATTTAACTATGTCAATTTTTTATTTTTATTTTTATTTTTTATTTTTTTTCAGATGATAGAGCCCATAACCTTAATATGAGATTAATAAAACTCATAAAATTATGCTAAGATGGCATTTACAACTCCATGGTTACTTCTAATTAAAACATTTTATTTCCGCGCCTATTCTTCTCTCTCACTCACTGTCACTGAAACTCTACTGCATTGAGAATAAAAAAAAGGAAAAAGGAAAAAAAAAAAGTTTCATTCTTCAAAAGCCTGCACAGTACGCGCGCACACACGCACTCTACTAGGATTGTTTGTCAATGGAGGAAGAAGAAGACCAGCAGAAGCTTCCAGATCTGGTGAAGGAACTGGTCCACCGATTGCTCTCTCAAAACGATTCCCAATCTCCAAACCCTAACTCCCCAGAATTCCAAAACTCTCTCCGCTACGCACTTCGCATACTCTCCAGCAGACTCACCCCCTCCGTCGCCCCCGACGCCGCCGCCATCGCCGACTCCATCAAGCGCCGCCTCGCCACCCAAGGTAGGTCCTCCGAAGCCCTCTCTTTCGCCGACCTCTACACCAAATTCGCTTCCAAAGCACAAAGCGTTAACAACAAATGGGCAGTTATTTACCTCCTCAAGATCATCTCCGAGGATCGCAAAACCCAATTCGACTCTGCTTCCGTTCTCTTGCCCAATTTGCCTTTCTCCGACAAACCCAGAGACAACAACAACAACAACAGCAGCAACAACAACAAGGGTTGGAACAACAATGGTGTCTTGTTGGTCGCCAAGGATCCCGAGAATCGACGCGACATTGCGTTTCGGGAGTTCGTGAATTTGGTTAAGGAAGAAAACGAGGTGTCCGAGGAGGTTCTGGTTCGGGATGTGCTCTATGCTTGTCAAGGTGTTGATGGAAAATACGTGAAATTTGAGAGCGAAAATAATGAGTATGCTTTGTCTGATTCGATTAGGGTTCCTAGAGCTACTAGGACTATGGTTAACAAGCTTTGTGAATTGGGGGGTTTGTTTAAGAAGGTTACTGGGTATATATGGCAAAGTATGGATGGGTTTCCGGTTGAAGAAGTGGGAACTGTTGGCCAAGCTTTCTGTTCTGCATTGCAGGATGAGTTGAGTGAGTATTACAAGTTGTTGGCAGTGCTTGAGGCACAGTCTTCGAATCCGATTCCTTTGGTGTCTGAATCCGCGAGTTCGGGTAATTATCTATCTTTGAGGAGATTAGCTGTTTGGCTTGCGGAACCAATGGTGAAGATGAAGTTGATGAGTGATTTGGTTGACAAGTGTAGGGTTTTGAGGGGAGGGGCTATGGCTGGTGCGATTCATTTGCACGCACAACATGGTGATCCACTGGTTCATGAGTTCATGAGGAGATTGCTGCAGAGGGTGTGTTCTCCACTGTTTGAAATGGTGAGGAGGTGGGTTCTGGAAGGCGAGTTAGAAGATGTCTTTGCTGAGTTCTTTATTGTGGGTCAGCCAGTGAAAGCTGAATCCCTTTGGAGAGAAGGATATAGGCTCCATGATGCCATGCTTCCTTCCTTCATTTCTCCTTCCCTTGCTCAGCGGATCTTGAGGACTGGGAAATCCATAAACTTCCTTCGTGTTTGTTGCGAGGATCGCGGTTGGGCTGATGCTGCCACCGAAGCTGCCACTGATACAGGGGCCACGGCAAGAAGAGGTGGTTTTGGGTATGGTGAAACCGATACCCTTGAATCCTTGGTCGATGAAGCTGCAAAGAGAATTGACAAGCATCTGTTGGATGTGATTTACAAGAGGTACAAATTCAAGGAACACTGTCTTGCAATTAAGCGGTATTTGTTGCTTGGTCAAGGTGATTTTGTGCAATATCTAATGGATATTGTTAGGCCCGAGCTTTCTGAGCCAGCTAACACTATAAGCTCTTTCAAACTTTCGGGATTGCTGGAAACTGCAATTCGGGCATCTAATGCTCAATATGATGACAGTGACATTTTGGATAGGCTCAGGGTCAAAATGATGCCACATGAAAGTGGTGATAGGGGCTGGGATGTATTTTCGCTGGAATATGATGCCAGAGTTCCACTAGATACTGTGTTCACGGAGTCTGTGATGGCAAGGTATTTGAGAATTTTTAATTTTCTGTGGAAGCTTAGAAGAGTGGAACATGCTCTTATTGGTGCCTGGAAGACCATGAAACCAAATTGTATTACTTCTCATTCCTTTACCAGATTGCAACATGCAGTGAAGATGCAGTTAGTTTCAACATTGAGGCGCTGCCAGGTTCTTTGGGTTGCAATTAATCACTTTATTTCAAACTTGCAATATTATATAATGTTTGAAGTCTTGGAGGTATCGTGGTCAAACTTTTTAAGTGAGATGGATGTCGCCAAAGATCTTGATGATCTACTTGCAGCTCATGAGAAATATCTACATTCCATTGTAGAGAAATCTCTCCTTGGAGAGCTTTCCCAGTCCCTTTACAAGTCACTGCTTGTAATATTTGATCTTATATTACGGTTTCGGAGCCATGCGGATCGGTTGTATGAAGGTATTCATGAGTTGCAATCGAGGTATTGTTCTTACTCTATCATCCCTATACCTTCCCCCACCTGTCCACCCCAAAAAACAAGCATTTTGCTCTGTTTGACATTTGGTCATGTGTTTGTGTTTGTTTCAGAATCACAGAATCCTCCCTATCCTCTCGGGACCAGAATAAATCACGAAAGCAACTGAATGCTAAGTCTGCGGAACAGGGATCCTGGATTGCTGATGGGAGGAAAGCCCTAACGCAGCGTGCTGGTGAATTTCTTCGAAATGTGGGACAAGATCTGGATGCAATTGCAGAGGAGTATTCATCATTGCAAGAGGAATTCATTTCTCAGTTGCCTGTACAGCAGCATGTTGATCTAAAGTTTCTCTTTTTCCGTCTTGACTTCAATGAATTTTATAGCCGGTTGTGTGCTAGTATAGGAAATTTGTGAATAAGGCTGAGGGTCAGGTTGAAGCATTGTTTATTCAAGAAGCTAAGGCATTAACAAAGCTTTGCAACGAGCTAACCTCCGTTGTGTGTTTGAGTGGAACAATTCTATTGGTGCTAACTTCCTTCAGACCAACCATTCCTTGGGTTATTAATTGACCATAGGTATGGTGGATATCTTAGTTTTCTCATTTTTTTCTTAATGTTTTCTATGGAGGATGTGACCTTCTCTTTCTTTCCAGGTAGTCAACTTTTGTGGTTTGCAAGGTAGTTTGTGGCGGATGTGAAGCTATTTATATTCCGATTGGATGCACGATGTGCGTAGTCACACGTAAGTATCTGAATACCTGATGATTTAGTTAGTTTTTTCTGCAACTTTTGCAAGCTGTGCTTTCAGAGATTGTTCATCTGTATCCTAGATTTTGTATTGGTTGAATGAAAATGGGTGTCTGAAAATCGAGTTTCTGCATTCTCTTGTATTTCGTCTGGTTTACTTTCTCTTCTCAGTCTGCAGCGTGCTTGAATTTTCGCCTTGTGGCAATAAAAATAAGGCCACAGGTGAATCAAGTATCAAGATGCTTGCCTTGCAATTCAATATGCTTCATACACATCTAAGGTAACGAAAGAGCTTCTTTTTTATTTTTTATAAGCTCAGGCTATAGAATTGAAGAGTGAAGCCTTACTTTGTTTGTTTGATGTAGCTACATGTGAATAATAGAGCTTATTAGTCGAGTAATTCATTTGACACATGCTTAAATATTAACAGTTGTCTATTCAACTTGGGAAACTGGGCGATGGAACTTGGTTGCTTTGCTTTTAGAAGGATTTTTCCTTTATTTTGGTGATTTATAACAAATCCGGAGTTCAGAATTGTTGAATGTTTAGTAGAAAATAGTTATCGGTTTGGCTGAAAATAATGGAGGTACAGGCAACTTTTGATGTCCGGGGTATCATGGGAAAGGTACGAGGGGTTGAATCATTCTGTAGAGTTTCTGAAAGATCAGACAGGAATAGAGGGAACGTGTTACAAAATAATAGTATTCTTAGGGCACTGAAGTTTTCCTTTTTTGGTACGAGTAGTCCACTTACTGAAGTTGTATCTAACCTGAAAAGTTATTTTGCCAAACCAGTGATATTCGAAGTTGGGCTACTCCAAAAGATACATTTACTCCAGTTAAATTAATTGCTAATTGGGTGTAAGTTTTTTTATTTTTACACCGGTGTAAGATCATTATTCCCCTGTTATTATTGGGTAAACATATATAATTTTGTCAGAAGTCTGAGTTACCTACAATCTGAGCTAAATTTGACATAGGTTAAATTATTAACAGGTTCAACTAGCATGTGTAATTCATGGTTCAGATATTGGTTTTTAATTCCGGTCCTGTTTTAGATAGATGCGGATGACACAATCCTTTTCTATTTTCTCAGGTAAAAGTTAAGTTGTCTGGAAACTGCTTGGTTCCTAACGATTGAGTTATGTTGCATATGCACTAGTAATCATCATTGTATAAGGATTGACAACTGGCTCTTTTATCGATTCGATAAATAATCCGATTACTTTCATAGTTATCAATTTTCATAAAAGGAGGGTAATGCTATATAAGCAGCATTGTATTAGCGAAAATCGTCATACATATCTTCATCAATAGGTTAATCTTAGAATTCGTGCATCATGTCTGAAAAACACTTTCACACGCACGATACATCTGTTGTCTCTTCCAGTGTTTTTCATAAAGCACCCTCCTTTATATAGTTGGTTGTGCAAGTAATATTATTTGTAATTGTTTACGTGATAGGAATGGCTCTATTGACAAAAAATGTTGACAAATAGATCGATAAACACCATGAAATGTAATGTCATATGTTGGATGAAATAATTATAGTATTGAAAAGAGATGGGTGGAGCTGTGTTTGGAATCAGGGATGATCTTCGGATATTCACATGTTGATAATGCCTCAGCATATCTTTTGTCTCTTTCTATTTCATTTTAAGTGTTCACATTACATTTTTCTTAATCTCTCCGATGTGATAGTCTGAAATAGTACGAATAAAAACTACAATGATCACGGAAGCGAATGTGTTGAGTATCTCGAAGATTTGAACTTATTTCCTCCTTGGGGAACGCAGTCAATTGTTATACAATACAGTTAAAATCAATTTACATTTAGTTTTAAAATTTTAGAACAAAAATTACCAATACCTTGAATAAAATTGAATTTTTCTTTATACTAACCATCACAAAGAAAGAGTAACAGCATTGATGCAGTGATTAACAGCTGTACACGCATGTGCTTATTAAGTTCAAAGGTGATAGGACACGATTTTACTATTTTTCTATGGTGACTACACGGAGCGCATTTTCCATATTACGTTCATACTACAGTGGTATATACTACTGTTTCTCACAATCAAACACCTATATTTAAAACAATATTTTTTCTTACATATTACTATATAAGCATTGATGTTTGATTTTTACTTGAAGGATATATGAAAAAGTGGGGGAAACAGGAATATTGTAGAAATTTCCGACTACACGTTGGAAATTTACGTAATCTGCTAACTATCAATCTCACCCAGCGACTTATCTCCATCAAATTACTGCTTCGCTATAATGGTGGCCTGAGAGTGTTTCTTGGAGCACTAATCCAAGGGGTACCCGCAATGGCAAATCTCCACAAAGCGTTGACATGCTCTGGCAAAGCGTATTGGATACCAACACGTGGACCTACCAGTATGTTTTCTGGCTCTGGACCATCTAAGAGTTCCAAACCACCTACATCACACACCCTTTCCCCTTTTGAGAAACCATTGATGATCCATTTGTCAATTTTACATTTGGGACGCTGGAATTATAAGCTTACCAGGAGTATAAAGAGAATGGTTGGACCATTCCGTTGAAAGAGCCAGTGCCTGACCAACCTAAGATTTGGGAGAACATTCAAATTAATCAATTTCGGAAACTATAGTGATGTAAAGAATCATCTCCATAATCGTCAAAAAGATCATAGTGAATTCTATTTCACCAGAACGCGATGCAAATAAAAATTGCATTTTACAAATGAGGCAACCTTCTAAAACCCTCATGCGAGATATTTTATTTCGGTGCTTCTAAGTTCTGATTATTTATGGACACGACTTCTATAAACTTAAAGGAGGGTAAGCATAATCTTTGAAAACTTTATTACAAAGAATGGACCTTGTACGGAAATAGCCAAAGTATTAAACTTAATAAACTGGACGACAAACTATTCACAAATCATAAGCATGTAAAATCATAACCGATGAACAATTTACAAATCTAAGATACAATGGTATCAAACTATTAACTGATCATTATTAATGAAGGAACAATTTCTTTTTTTCTTTTCTTTTTTTAATCTCAATAAGATTTTTGCCAAGAAAATGGCAAGTTTGTAACTGCAGCTACTTTGTATTTTATGAACAAAACTTCCAATATTGACTAATTGATGGTAAAACACTAAAATGTAGATAACTTTTACTTGATAACTCAAATGGTAGTGCAAAACATTAACCGAATTATTTTCCTCAAAAGCATCTCAAACAGATGAAAACGAGGGAGGGAAAGAAACTAACCTTTCCAGGACCGGTAAGAAGTATAGGTTTCTCAGTCTTCTGACCTCGGCGCTGTTGAATGACATCCAATCCTGTGATATCGTTGAATATTATGAAGTAAATCTAAATAATTATATGCAAAATTTCCTTATAATGAACACCAGTAAAGAGATTGGAGTCTTTCTGCAAGAGTTAATTGAATTATTACTGATCTGAGAGGGAAAAGAGAATGATAGGTTATTGTAACAACGATGCTGAACATATACTGAAAGCCCCACCTTTCCAATTAACCAGTCAGTTTCCAGCTTTGGCTTACCCATAAGAGTAATAGTTGCACCTGCATTTTATTAACACACTTCTCTGGAAATCCACACTATATGACACTCAGAGTTCAAGTGCAACTTTTATCAAAGTAGTCCATTTTGTACACAACCGAAATAAGCTACAATCTACAAGCTTGTGATGATTTATTGTATTGCACCCAACAAAACCATTACCTAACGAGTCATCTCTTAAAGCTCTTGTTTTGTTTTCCTTTTAAAGAGAAATATGAATAATGTATTCATTTTAAGAACTCACTGGCATGACCTAGAATAACTAGTCATCATTTATCTCTTTAATTTATTCATCCATAAACTGAATCAATAACACAAAAAAACATCTTAAGGGCCCAGGATGAGGCCTAATTTATCAAGTTAGTGGTACTCTAAATTAAAAGTAGGCAACGGAGTATGAGTTCCTTCCAAAGAGACTCATCAACAAGCACACAGAGTGTTGAAGATTTATTCGGCAAGCAGGGTATGATAGATGGACTAAACGGCAAAGAGCAAAAACTAAACAGAATGGTTTATTTATAGCATACTTATGAGGTATTTACTAGTTAGCATTACCACTAATGGGAGCACAAGAACGTATCAAAACAGCAGCACCAACTCCTTCCTTGTCAGCAACAACATTCAGCATTATGTGGAGACCATAGCAAAGATAAACATACGCATTCCCACCTGGTCCAAACTGCAAAATAGGAACAACCACACAACAACATTACTCCAAAAACCTCAGTTATCATCTTCAAACTATCAATAAACGATATAGAACTTTAAATAAAATAAAAAAGAGAGTGTGAAATAAAGGAAGCATCTTACAACAGGGGCAGTTCTTGGAGTAATTCCAAACCTACCATGACAAGCTGAATCATTTGGTCTATATGCTTCAACCTGTCTGATACAAATACAAACCAAACCACATTGTTACCAACAGTCAACAGACACACACAGAAGATGCACACTTAGACACACCACACGTGCACGTATTAACGATTCCCAATATACCCAATGGACCAAACTATGTTATAAAAATCAAAGAACCAAAATTTTGAAGAGGTGAAGGACCGTACCTCAGTAATCTGAAGAACGACGTCGTCTCTGCGAAGAAACTTACCAAGCAAACGAGGGGCAAGGTCCAACGCATCGATTTGAAAGAAATCGCGGGGCAAAGTTTCCATCTTTTTGGAAGATATGTCTGATTCTGATGACTCGGGTTTAGCGCTCAGCTTCACTGATTTGGAACGCCGAGTTTTCTCCGCCGGTTCGGTTGGTGGAACCGGAAATCCCGGTTTAGCGACTCGTTTGAACCGCTGCGTTCGCTTCTTCATAACGCTGCCGCGGAAACAGAACGAATCAAACAAAGTGGATGAAGAAGTTGACTCGCGCTCTATGGCAGTTTTGGTGGGTGGCAAAGACATGCCGCATAGTTGCATATGCAATGCCACTGCAACTTTACGATTTGTGGTAACTTAATTAACCTAAGTAGAAAGTTACAGTGTGTTTGGTAGAAGGGTATAAAAAAAGATTACTGTAAATTTTCTTTTGGTAAACGTCAATTATTATGTTTGGTAGGAGTAACAAAAATCAGTTCTCGAATATTCAAAGTTTATCGGTAATTTAATTTACAAAGAAAAGTCACTATTCAGATTACCAAAAAGAATATGATAATTCAAAATTTTAAGTAAAGGAAAAGCACAACAATAATTTTTGAGCCAAAAATATCTCAACACACATCAAAACCTAGATCCAATCTATCAATTACAAAAGTAAGAATAGTTTGGGGTTATTTTTGTAAAATAATCTTATATTCCAAGTCATATTTCGTTCTAAACCAAACATGGAATCAGTAATATTTACCCAATATTCTCGGTAATATTTTGGCGAACCAAACACATTTTTCGTAACATTCCGAGTAAACTCAATTTCTAGTGTATTCCCAGTAATCGTGATTTCCGGATACCAAAAAATTTCTCTTGTACCAAACACACCCTGGGCGTTTGGTATGAGAAATATTTTTTTTTTACCGAGAAAAAAAAAGATTGTTAGGGATTTGGTAGGAAATTTTTTATTCCGGGTAAGTTATGAAAAAAGTGTTTGGTTAACCAAAATTTTACTGGAAAAGTTGAGTTATTTTACTGATGCTATGTTTGGTTGATAGTAAAATATTGATGAGAATGTGAATTGAAATTACCAAAATATCAAAGACCATGGGCAATCTCTTTACACATGATGTCATATATTACAAGGGTATTTTTGACTCAATATATTACATTCAAAATCCAAGACCATGGCAAAAAAAATACCAAAGATTAAGTGGGATAATATTTTGCCTTTGTGTAGTTGAAAAAGAAAATACTGGGAAAAATGTTTACGGGCATTTTGTCACAATACTCATACCAAACATGGTAAATAAATATTCTCCACCCCACTTTCCCATCATTCCATACCAAATCCCCATACCAAACACCCCCTTAAGGTAATATCTTTTGGTATCTTAATTCATATTTTTAAAAGAAAAAGAAAAAGAAAATTGTATTCTTGAAATATGAATGTATTTGGTTGTGTTGGATTTTCATGAAATGTAGAGCATTCCAATCTGGAGAACTTTCAAAAAAAATTTCAAGGGTTTTGTTGGTTTCTTTTGAGACAAATAGAAGTTAAACTATTGTTAAATAAGAGGGATATGTTATTCTACTTATCTCTTTTTATGGTTATTTTACCTATTAATTTTTAATATCGTTAGATCAAAATTTCAAGAGTATAGAAAAATGATAAATGTTAGTTGAAATTCTGATCCAACGACATCAAAGAGTGACAGACATGAAAAAAAGATAGGTGAAAAAAAAAATAAATGGCTTTGATAATTTCACATGACCAAATCATGTGAAAACTCCATATGAAAGGATCTACTCTTAGGACAAATTCCTTTTCGTAAAAACACATACAAGATTCGTCACCACAAAAAGGATGAGAATGATAACCCCACCGTTAACTGCTTCAATTGAATAGTAATAAAATTACATGTCGTAGTTTAACATTTACATGTCTTTAAAACAATACAACAAAAATTTAAAATCAAAATAAAGTTTTGTCTATATTTAATAGTTTACATTAATATTCTATTTCATGCAAATCCTAAAAAAATCAAATATGATTATATTCAATAATACATTTATTTATAATAAGAATAAAGATATTAAATAGTTTACCTTTCATAATATTTAGGGTTAAAAAAAGAACCAAGCCAAACACATGAAATTCTTAAAAAAAAAAAAACACCAATAATAAGAAGACTCAAATTGGTGGTGGATTTGAAGGTGTTAAAAAAAAAAAACACCAATAATAAGAAGACTCAAATTGGTGGTGGATTTGAAGGTTGAGCACCAAATGATGAAGTGATTTTGAGCACCTAATGATTAAATAAGAAAGAACCATATGACTATATGCATATAATAGACGGTTTGGGGGGGTGGGGGGTTGTGTTCGAAGAAAATAAGCATAGATGATTTGGAGATATAAGATTCATATAGAGAAAGTATATAATGCAAAAATATTTTGGAATTTGAGGATTCAAGGTTCATACAAAGAGAAATTATAAGCTAATGGTAATAAACTTTAGACAAGGGAGTAATTTTGTTTAAATTTCATTCACAGTGTAGTTTTATTGGATTTCATTTCAATTGGTAGTTAGGAGTTATTTTTTGTGTGGTGTGTTTCAATTGTGCCTATTATTGTTAAAATGCCATCAAGGGTAGCGAAATGCAAAAGAAGAAAAGCATACCAATATCCCCCTTCTAATTTCTTTATCTCTATCTTTCCCAAATCTTCTCCTATTCCTTAATTCTCTTCCTAATTTTGATGTTTCTCTCTGTAATCTCCTTTCTCTCCTTTGGTTTTCTCATTTGTTTATCTAATTAGTAAAATGGTTGCTACAAATGGTGATTTCATTGTTTACTCCCCCTTATTGCCCTTGGATTCTTCTCTTACCTTCGAGCAGTAACTGATTATCTCAAACTTCAGATCCAAGCTCTCTAGCATTATATGCACATATCCACGCAAAGATAGGCCCAAATGCTCTATGCCCTCGAGTAAGAATGGTATCGTTGGCTAGATCTCTTTCAAGATGAGTGTAGATCCACCTTAAGTTATACCTTTCGGGTTGGTCGTAGTTCAATATGACTTTGTCAGAAAGCGAACCACAAACTATCACCACCAATTATATGGCCCTTGCAAGGACCACCCCCACACATGGTTGTGTAGATGCTTCCATAACCATTGCTAAGTTTCCTGGTCAAGACGACTTGGCTCAGGCTTGGATGGAAGATGAATGAGGAAAAATGTGTATGAGAAACCAGGGGAAGAAGAAAGCAGCACATGTGTAGTAGGGAAGCAAGATGGGGAAATATTACAAATGAACCATATCCAACATACGCCTAACCCAAATTACTCAACCACTGTAATTGATATTTATAACTTTGAGGTGTGACTACAAGGGGTGGCAATTGAGACACAATGATTGGTCTAATTCAAACTCTAATAATTGTGAAGCCTTATCAATGGTCGTGACTTGTGATTGAACCTATCGTAACAACCCATCTATCTCCGATATCTAGTCATCCATTTTAAATTTTCTCTATCAGGATCATTCTTTGTGTACCTGGACCACCATTTATTTGGTGGTCCGTTCTCACAATAGGGAGGAACAAAAGGGAAAAGGGAATTTTTGTGTGTGGATAAAACTAGAATTTTCTTTTTGAACTTTGTGAGAGGGAGCACCCAATCATTTAATGATCCTGAACCATTTTAAATTTTTTCCATCTAGTGAGTCTTGAAATGTAGTAAGTGATTGAGCACAATTAATGTCATTTACATATGCACGTTGTGATTCAGCGTTCTTAACCACTTATGTCGTGTATTTTAATTGCTGTAACTCAACATCTCGAGGACGAGGTTATTTGAAATGGTAGAATGTAGCAACTCAAATAAATTTAATATTTTTAAAATACCAACTATTAGATAAACTTCATCATTGTGATGAACTAATAAAATATTAACTACCAAAGTATTATTACAAAACAAATATATGTCCATTTTAAGTAACAAATATTTAAATTTTTTATTTAAATATAAATTAATCAAATAATTTATTTGAAACTAAATTTTAAAAAAAATACGGGCCAATAAATTAATATAAATAATCCACAATCAACATAAAACTACGTTACTCATAATTTTCAAGTTGAATTAGACTTAGCCGACTCTCTTTTGAATCACAATTCGCTAGCCAAAATAATATTCCTATCCATATATGCCTCATTGTGAAGAACACTTTATATATAAATTATTGATTTCATATAAGTTAAATTATTATGTAGCTTTATACATTTTAGGATTTTTTAAGCAGATTTTCATAGTATAAATTTTTTTAACAAGGTTCTTATGGTCTATGCAATTTTTATTGTGTGATTAACAATTAGTTTTGACTTGTATATGAATTTGTATTTTGACAAATTAGTTTACACTTTCTTTTTTTGTATTTCAATTAATTTATATTTATATTTTGATGAATTATGATAAATTTGTGTATTTTAAAAAATTGATAAAAAACAAAAAATAAAAAGTTCAATCTAAAGTAATTTTTTTTCGGTAGACAAAAGGGTCAGGGCCCAAAACAAACCCAAAGATAAATAAAAACAAAACACAAAAATAAACTACAGCTACCCTATCAAGAGTAAACCACTACACAGTTTCTAGCAACAACAACAAGATCAGCCAAGTATAGTAGATGTATTCCACGCGGAGGTTCCCGAAGCATTATCTGGTCATTTTGTTCCCTATCATCCAAAATAAAGTTTGCTAGCCAATCCGCACATATATTCCCTTCCCTATACGTATGTTGAATCCTTACCTGCCAGGCTTTGTTAAGCTATGTCGTATACGAGAAACAAGTTGAATCTCACAGACTGCTGCACTTCTGGAAGTGAGCACAGTGATTGCACTAGATGAATCACTTTCTGAAATCACATTCTGAAATCACATTCTGAAATCACATTTTGGTATCCTTCATTCCACGCCACTTCCAAACTGCAAATGATACCCTATAACTCAGCTTTATAAGATGAGCAACAACCTAACCTTTTTGCAAATCCACATAACCAATTGCATCTTGCATCCCGAATCAGACCTCCACAAGCAGTAGATCCAAGATTGCCATGAGTCGCACCATCAGAGTTTATTTTAACAGATCCAACCTCAGGGAATTGCCAACATATACTAGTATTTATACTACTTGTTCTTGCTAGTCTATCATCCACCCCCACTTTCACTTTTTCCACATCCAGAACTAACTCTTTAATTGTCTAAACCTTGATATCCAAAGAATGAGCCTCCCCATGTAGTACTACATTCCTCCAGTGCCATAATTTCCAACATGTTAGAATGAAAATGGTTATCCAAGAAAATGATGACCCCTGAGAAGTACCAATGTTAATATTATTTGATGGCCACATCGAAGAATCATCTGTGAAGAAACCAGAGATGTACAGATCGGCCTTTAGCTTCAACCAAACCTGTTTAGCCTTCCCACAATCTCTTAAAGCATGAATAATTGATTCAGTTTCAAGCCTGCAACATGGACAATTAGGATTAGAATCACCTCATTGTGAAATTTTAAGTCTTGTCAATAACCTATTATGCAAAATTTTCCACATGAATTTTTTTGGTTTTTTAGGTCCCTTCCAAGCCCACAGCCTTTGCCATATCTTCCTAGCCTCCTCATCAACATTCTTATGCCGGGACAAGCTATGATATAAAGAGCTTATTGAAATCTTAGCCTCCCCATTATTTGACCACACTTTCTTATTAGGTCTATCTTCTGGAATCAGTGGTAGTGTACTCTAAATGGCAGCAATAACAGTATTTGGTAACCAATTTTATTTTTTTTGGAGTTACCCAACCCTAATTACCTCTTTGAGGCGAGTTGGCTCCCTCCGGTATCCCCACAAGCTTTGACTCTTTGAGACGGCTATGGGACTAATCCGGAGTGCGGGGGTCAGTGATGGCTAAAGGTTCAGCCCCCTCCCCAAGAATGCATTCAACGGGAATCGAACACATGTCCAACCCCACTAACTCAGCGCCAAGGAACCAACTGAGCTGCACCCATTGGGTTTTTGGTAACCAATTTCTAAGCTCATCAAATCTCCAGGTTCCCATTGTGGTAACCATGTCAGCAACCTTGGTATTAATGTCGAAAATCAGTTCCCCATTGGGAATTAGCTCTTGTAGGGGACCTACATTTTGAAGCTACTTATCAGACTAGAAACTCACCTCTCTTCATTTACCAAACGTCCATGATAGCTGCCCTTCCATTTCAGACCAAATTCTACAGAAATTTTTCCAGAAATTTGAATCACCATTTCGAGAGACAAATGGCATAGAGCTTATGTTATTGTTTACGTATTTTGCTTGAAGCACTTGAGTCCATAACTGATGAGGATCAGATTTGAACATCCACGCTCTTTTTGCTAAAAAAGCACGGTTCATCTATTTTAATTTTCTGAAACCCAAACCACCATTTAATTTGGGCAAGGTAATCACATCCCAACTGATCAGATGATGTTTCTTATTGTTCTACGTATCTCCCCATATGAAGCGTCTTTGAAGCCTCTCAATTTCATCACAAACCGACATCGGAAGCATGCAGCTTTGCATATGAAAAAATGGAATGTTGCCATTACCGACTGAGCAAGTGTTATACGACTTGCTTGAGATAAGCATTGTCTTTTCCAGTTGCTCATTTTTTCCTTTACCCGCTCAACTATTCCATCATATAAGCTTCTCTTCACACGCTCATGTTGCATCATTGAGCCCAGATAACGCCCAACATTCTTAACTCTTTTAAAACCACTAACCTGAACAATCTTGTTAATAGTCTCTTTAGAGGCATTTTTTGAGAAGAAAACACTTGTCTTCTCCACATTTAATTTTTGACCTGGCAATTCTTCAAATAAGTTTAAGCATTTGAGTAGAATGTAAATTTGCTCCTCACTTGCTTCCATGAAAACCATCAAATCATTAGCAAAAGCTAAATGTGAGATCCATGGACCCTTCTTTCCATCACGCATAGGCTTCCAGAGTTCTCCTTTCATAGCAGTATCAATGATATGTGTTAATTTCTCTATGGCCATCACAAATATATATGGAGATAGTGGATCTCCTTGGTGAAGACCTCTAGAAGGACATAAATCATCAGTCTTCCATCCATTCCACAAGACATTGACGATGGACGAAGATACACATTGCATTATCAACTTGACTATGGCATCAAGGATATGGATTTCTTCCAATGTCTTCCTCATGAACCGCCATCTAACCCTATCATATGCCTTGACAAGGTCAATCTTAATGGCCATAAAAGCTTTCCTTCCCCTCATTTTACTCATTGAATGAATGAGCTCTTGCACAAAACTAACTTGGGATGGGGATATAATCTTATCCATCATAGGTTTTAGTCTCCTTACAATTACTTTAGGCATAATTTTATAGAGAACTGAACATAATGATATTGGACGAAATTGAGAATAGATTCAGGCCTTTTAATTTTCAGAATCAGCACTAAAAAGGTATGGTTTACCTTAGCAATCTTTTTCGGTGTGCACCACGTTTCTTTAACAACATTACAAACCTGCACTTTAATTTGATTCCACCGTCTTTAATAGAATACAACAGGGAAACCATTCGATCCTGCTGCTTTAATTGCCCCCATGGAAAATAAACATTTCATAATTTCCTGATTACAAGGGGTAGTGGTCATTCTATTCAGCTCAATCGAAGACATCGAAGGCCAGCAATTTTATGATGTTAGCCATCTTCTATCATTTATCTTTTCACTAGATAGCTGTCTATAAAAGTTACAAACATGATGCTTCAAGTCGTTTGGTTCTTCAATCCACTGATTCAAATCATCTCTCAACTTTGAAATCTTGTTATTACTCTTACAAATTATTGTTTTAAGGTGATAAAATATAGTATTTTTATCACCATATTCGATCCATTTTTGTCTCGATTTCTGGAACCAAATGAGCTCTTCTTGATCAAGTGTAATGTTCAAATTTTGCTGCAACTATTCCTCAATTTCCTGCAACTCACGTCAATCACTACTTTCCCTCCTTTTTTGAATATTGGCAATATTCTGCAACAAAGTTTTCTTTCTTCTGTTAATATCACCAAAAATCTCCTTATTCCATCTTTGAAGATGGTGCGCAAAATTGGGTAGCATACAAGTTATCTCTTCAGACTTCTTCCACTTTTCCTCCATTAGACTATCAAAACTAGGATGATCCATCCAAGTCGCTACAAACCTGAAAGGTCTTTGCTTCCAGTGTTGAGATTTTCTAGCCAAATTTAGAAGAAAATGATTGTGATCAGATAGAACCCTTGGAAGAGCACGTGCTTTAGCATCTTCAAATTCAACCCTCCATTGAAGATTGGCACAAATTATATCGAGTTTCTTATAAACTTTATCAAGATTATTCCACTTTGGTCCCTGCCACGTGAACTTAGCACCAGTAACATCAATATCCATTACCTGACAGTTATCCAAGAAAGATTGGAATCTCCTATATTTCGCTAAATCCGAATTAGAGCCACCTTTCTTCTCACTGCTACATATTATGTCATTAAAGTCACCGGCCATGATCCATGGCTCATTTATGGACTGGCTAAGATGGGACACAGTTTTTCACATTTCATGTCTATTTCCTTCTTGCGGGCTTGCTTATACAACAATACATATGAACTTTTTGTAACCTTCCACTTCGATGAACATGTGAATGAATTGGTTGGCTTGACAGATGGACTACACTTTGGCTTTTTTTGAGCTCCACATAACCCATACACCTCCAGCAAACCCATTAGCTTCTTCCACAATTATCTCATCAGAACATAATTTTTTCATAATCTTGTCACTATTAACACCAGGCATGCGTGTTTCCGATAAAATAACAATACAAGTTTTATGTTTGTCCATCAAGAGCCTAAGAGAACGACCAATCTAAACTAATTTAAAATAATATAAAATAAGAACTTTTTTTCATTCAAAAAATATTTAAAATGCTTTTTTAATATACAAAATCACCTTAAAATTAATATTTTAAGTCAATAAAATTGATCTAGTGGTAAGATATAAAATAGTTGTTATGATATATAAATTTAAACCTCAGTGTTATCATTATATAAAAAAGGGAAAAACTACTCTTATACAATATAAGAGTAGTTTTATCTCCTACACACCTATTGAAAATCGTGACACTATTTTTTTTTTTTTAAATGGCGGACCCCACCATATATATCTTTACAACATGAGAGAAGATCTCTCATCTAACATAAGATTAAATGAACCCTATAAAAAAATATATAAATTAAATTGCCTGATTGAACTGGTTAAATAATAAATAATTATATTTTCGATTCAAATATTAATAAGCTGAATCACAATTCAGTCAAAATTTAACCAATTCAACCAATAGAATCAAGAATCATACTCTTATTAACAAGGGCACTGCTATCCCTATTCCAAGTTGTGTGGTCTTTCTAGATCCTTCCTTTCAATTCCAAACACAATTTTCTTTGTTCGTTCTTTCTAGACCTTTCCACACACCACGCAAACTTCCATTTAAATTTAATCCCATTTCATTTTTCCTCCACATCTGAATCCACTCCAATCTCTTTGCGACATTTCCACAAACACTTTGCGTGCGTATTTGTTCGATGGCGAGGTACGGCGAGGGAGACAAACGGTGGATCGTGGAGGAGAGACCCGACGGTACTAACGTTCACAACTGGCACTGGGCTGAGACTAATTGTATGGAATGGTCTAGAACTTTCTTCACCAACCTTCTTTCTGACCTCATTGTCCTTGACGGCGAGGGCAACCTCTTCATCAAAACCACCACGCTCCGCAACCTCAACGGCGAGGCTTACGTCAACATCCGTAAGGGTAAGATCATCCCCGGCTACGAGATCAGCCTTACCCTCGCCTGGGAAGGCGAGGCCAAGGATTCCGAAGGCAAATCCTTGCTCAAGGTCGACGGCACCGTCGAAATCCCTTACATCTCCGACGAGAACGCCGATGAGGACCCAGACCTCAGGGTCACCGTCAACGACGAGGGACCCGTTGGTAAGAGGCTCAAGGAAGCCATGCTTTCCAAAGGGAAGCCCTTGATCCTCGAGAAAGTTAAGGTTTGGGTTCAGAGCATGGCCAAAGGTGGTCCTGTTAAGGACGAGTTGGATACCAAGAAGGCGTCGCCGGCGCCGGCGCCGGCGCAGCAGAATCAGAATCAGAATCATGAGCCGGTACCGGTTGCAACTGCCGCGAAAAGGGATGGTTCGTCGGAGAAGAAGGAGAGCAAGAAGGGGCGGAAAAGTATTAGCTTGACGGAGAGGTTCAATTGCAGAGCGAGGGATTTGTATGAGATATTGTTGGATGAGAACAGGTGGAAGGGTTTTACGCAGAGCAATGCTAGGATCAGTAAGGAGGTTGGTGGTGAGTTCAGCATTTTTGATGGGTCTGTGACTGGAACTAATATGGAGTTGCAAGAAGGTAAATTGATTGTGCAGAGATGGAGGTTTGGAAGCTGGATCGACGGGGTCCAGTCTCTGGTAAGTTTTTTCGTTGGTTGAATGTTGAATCACACATTACTAGGCCTAGCATCATTGTTATGATTACGAGTGGTGATTAATATTTTGCAGGTGAGGCTTGTATTTGAGGAGCCTGAACCGGGAGTTACTGTTATCAAGCTGACGCATACTGATGTGCCTGAAGAAGACCGGTGAGTGTTTGATTTGGATTGGTTTTTAAGGAATCTTTGTTTTGTTTTGTTTTTGCCTAATTTACTGTGATGGTTGTTTCTTAATGCAGGTATGGGAATGCCACTGTGGTGGAGAACACTGAAAGGGGATGGCGGGATCTTATTTTCCAAAGGATACGTGCAGTTTTTGGTTTTGGAATTTGAGGTTTTCCGAATAGCCTTTCATGTGTTGTAGAATTGAAGGATTTTGATATTTTTAAAATTAATGGATTGATACTGGATATTGTGAACCGCAATGCTCGTGGTTATTTATTGAAAGAGTGTCTTCTGAGATACTTTTATGCCTCTATATGTTCTTTAATACTTTATGCATCTGCCTCTGTGCAATAGGATGTTTCTTGCTTTATCTATGTCTAGTTTGAATGTGATTTGTCGTTGGTATGGTTATTTGTTACTGTTGTTATGCATTGAATCGGTTGAAAAGTCACCTTGCTTTAAACTGTACCTCGCCCTGTGCAGAATTAGAGGGGATTATTTGATTATAGGGTAAATTTCCCCGGCCACATGTTTTTAATTCATATTTATGAAACTTCTCGTATAATCTTAACGAAGATTCTTGTATTATCACTATTTGATACAAAGGAGTTAACCTTTTTGCGACTTGGATGATGCCTACCATGAACTTAGAAATGAAGTCCTATTGTTTGAACTCTGCTGGCTGTATCATTTTAGCAAAATATTTTCAGTACTACGGATGTTGTACTGTTTTTTGGGTGGATTACTTGTAGATCGTCGTGATACCATGTAGGCCAAAGAGATTAAATGATTTAGCTATGCTTCCATGTCAGTTTGGTGGGGGTTCCCTTTTCTTGTTGGCTTTCATGTTTCCTTGGATTATGATATTCAGGGTTTGGGAACCATTAGAAATATTAAATGCCTGCACATTATCATTTTCGAGGCATGTCAGAGGCTCGTTCTTTAGCTAATGCGAGTTATGTGGCATTTGGGTATATACGCAAGGCATTCAACCTTTTACGTGGGTCGTATTTGGAAGCTGGTGAGAGGGCATATAATCGAAGAAACATAAGGGAGAGGGCTGAGGCAGTTAGGCCCAAGCCAAATGATCAGAGCGAGGGGTAGAACTGTAGAAGGGAAGTTAGATAGAGAAGGGAAGACGTGGCAAGACAGGATTGGAGAAGGGGAAAAGGTGAATAACAGAATGAGTGAGAATATGGAGTCTGGAGGTGGAGGTGGAGGTGGGGGTGGGGTGATAGAGGTGTTTCTGATAAGGTAATATATTGTATAAGTTTAGTCCCCTCAGGTCTGAGTCTTCGAGACCTATTATCGTGTTTCCTGAATTTTGCCTCGAGCCTCGGGAACGTTAATTTCTGTTATTTTCTGTATTTTCTTACCGTTAGTGTCTTTCTTGTTCACAGGCTTCCATAGCTTGAATTTATTTGGGTTGTAATTGACTTCTGAAGTGCTGTAAGGAGCTTGTCCTCTGTTGTTCTTAATCAATTCCAGCTGTAAGCTGTTTGTGAGTCATTCTTAATCAGGATCAATAACTCAGTGATCAGGAGAGTGTAGTCACGGGGCACCTAAAATTGGTTAGAATCTGATGACATTAACTTGATTCTGAGAGTATGGTGCTGGTGTAGTGGAAGCACGCGTTGTAGCTTTTGACTGGTGATAAGATATTGTGGTGACCCTTTTCTGTCAAGATTGCGTTCTGGAATATTGGCGCTGAATTGGGGTGAGAGGATAAGCTTAAGTAGAGCGTTGAAATCTTATGGATAAGCTTAAGTAGAGCATTCAAATCTTATGGACTAATCTTAAGTAAAGTTGAGTTTGGGTTGATGGGTAATGAATGCCAGTGAATGCCTCAGCTTGTTTGCATATTTTTGGTTTGGTGCTGGGTGTTTTATCCGGGACAATGATTAAAATGTTACTATTCACAAAAATTAACAGATCAGAATTTTTTTTTTCAAAATATATCGTCATTTAATTTGTTAAAACACCTGTGTAAATATGTGACAGCAGGTTCATGGACATGTAAGCTATTGCATAGTACAATAAAATTATGTGGCGGATAGCATGTCAAACTCATTATGTTGCATAGAATATTACGTGCTAGTTTGACGTATTATGTGTCTGATATGTGTCAAACTCGCTATGTTGCATAGTATGTTATGTGTTAACTTTTTTGACATGTAGTCATATATGTTGTGCTTCATAGCATATTATGTGTCAATAGTTCAATAGTTCAGTGTTTTTAGTTTAATAAATTTATCATTTTTAAAAATAATTAATTAACAGTTCTAAAATAATTTAAATTAATAAAAGTAAATTAAACTAAATTAATTAACAGATATAAATTAAATTTTATTTATTAACACTTCTAAATTAAATTAAATTACTTAACAGTTCAAAACAATTTTAACTTAACATAAACTAAATTAAATGAAATTAATTAATACTCTTTAAAAAATTAATTAATTAATTTAAATTAAATTAAACTAAATTAAGTAAAAGATATAAATTTAATTTGATTTATTAACACTCTTAAATTAAATTAAATTACTTAATAGTTCAAGAAAATTTAACTCAACATAAACTAAATTAAATAAAATTAATTAATATTCTTAAAAATAATTAATTAACAGTTCTAAAATAATTTAAATTAATATAGATAAAATTAAAATAAATTAATTAATAACTATAAATATGATTTAATTTATTCACACTTCTAAATGAAATTAAATTACTTCACAGTTCAATTTTTTTTAACTTAACATAAATTAAATTAAATGAAATTAATTAACACTACTAAGAATAATTAATTAACAATTCTAAAAATTAATATAGACAAAATTAAACTAAATTAGTTAGAAAATATAAAATTAATTTAATTCATTAATACTCCTAAATTAAATTAAATTAAATTACTTAATGGTTAAAAATAATTTAAATTAACATAAATTAAATTAAATTAAATTAAATTAACAGTTCTACATTAAATTCTTTTAACATAAGTTATTTAAAACTAACTATTTAAACCAATATTAATTTTCCTTAAATCATTTAATTTCAAAATACAAAATTCAATAATTAAAATTATCTTATAATTTATTAGATCACAATGATTCCAAAAGTGGGAAACAAATGGTGAATTTATTAGACGAAAAATGATGGTCTACTAGGCTACTTACATATAATATGCTAGGTAGCACAAAATGTATGATCACGTGTCAGAAAAGCTAACATGTAACATGCTATGCATTATTGCAAATTTGACACGTGTCAGACACATAGCACGTCAAGTTGACATGTAACATGTTATGCAGTATAGCGAGTTTGACACGTCACACGTTGTCTATCAGTAATCTCGTTGCACTGTGCAGTGACTTACGTAGTCATGAATCTACTGTCACATGTTCACACCTAACTCGTTAGGTGTTGTAGCGAGTTAGGTGACGTGATGTTTTGAAAAATAAAATAAAATCTGATCCGTGATATTCAAATAATCTTTTGTAAATAGTATGGCATTTTGAACGTTTTGTGGTCTTATCCCCCGGTTGGTGATGGCGCTATGATATTTATCTCATTTTACATGAGATAAATAACTCTCCTACACACACAAAAAGAGATTGAGTCCCATCATTTTTTTTCTCTCTCCTCTTACTTGTGGGTTTCACTTATACTTTTATTTCTACAACATAAGATAGTTTTTTTCCTACAACATAAAAAAAATACATCCCAATATTTATTCATATCAAACTCGTCGGTGCTTGTTGTATCTTCTTTACTTTTGTTGTGTTGTTTCTGTTTATTTCTTTTGTTCTGTTCATCAAGTAAAAAAAATGTAGTTTATTTTGATATCTAAGTTATAAAGTTTCAACATAATGAAAAACTTAATTTGTCTGTTTAATTAACGAGTTAAATGAATAAAGTTATTTGGATTGGTGTAATAGCACTGCTCATAAAAAGATAATTTGTATTTATATTTATCCGTGATAACGTCATTTTTTTATTTGCATAAGTTCTTTTTCGATTGGAACTGTAAAAAAAGCGTGCATATTAAACAATTCATGAATTTATGAACTGTTTGGTACGATAATTTTTTAAGAAATACTGAGAAAGTGGGAAGGGAAAAAAAATTTCCTGTGTTTGGTATGAGTAAAAATAAAAATATTTCCGAGTAGATTACCAAAAAAAAAAAAATATTTCCAAGTCTTTTTTCCCTATCATTTAAGTTATAACTACAAATTCTCAAACTCAAATACTATCTTTCCATGATATTTATTTTTTTCCACTCCATGGAAAAGCAAGAACAATTTTATGAGATTAAAAAAGATGGATAATTTTGTAATTTCAATCCAAATTCCCAGCAATATTATACAATCAATCACATATAGAATCAATTAAATTAACTCAATTTTTTCAGGAAAGTTTTACCCTATCTAACAATTTGTTTCTAATATTCTTGACAATTTTTTTTTTACCATATTCTCAAAAATCATGATTATCGAAAAAAAAAAAAAATTCCTATACTAAACACTCCCTTGGAGTAAAAAATGTAGCCAATTAAATATTGGAGATCGACATATTCAGTCAATAAGCCATGGACCAAAATAAAAGCAAAATGTCAAATCATTTAACGAAAGACAGTGGAGGTCGAATAATTGTTAATATGTATAACGTTAAAAAATGATGGCAATTATTTATTGTTCTTCTCCTTATTGTTAAACGCTCTAGATTTTGATTAATTTCATCTTTTTTATTATAAAGAGTGACATTCCATGTCCTGTAATATTTCATATGCTATCAGAATTTATAATGGAGTAAGGACTAATTTTCTTATTTGAGGGGGAAACTTAAAACCCTCATGCACATCGTTATTAGTTTATCACTTGAAGTATGGTTTTAAAAACTTGTTGAACGTCAATAATGGTTGTACTTGAACTTTTATATATATAGTTGAATGATAATTAGCGGAAATTGATTAACTAAACCCATTTTAACATCTACAATTTGGTATGAATAATTATTATTTTCAACTATATATTAAAAGTTAAGTACAATGAAACTTTGAATCTCAAAATCAATAAATTACATTCAACTTTATAAAGCCAGACCTAAAATAAGTGAGAGTAATTTACTTGTACAAGGATTTCAAATTTTCTCCTCACATAAGATGAAAAGAATATTTAACAAAATCTAGAGTATGGAACAATAAGAAAAAGAAGAAAATGATTGATTGCTATAAATTGACAATCTACCATCACTAATTATAATATTGCACTATAAGTTCAGTAAATGAAATATAAATATCTACTAAAAAGTAC